TCAGTGCTTGTTTCTTGTGTGTTGAAGATCTTACATGCTTCCTAGTCTCTTGCTTCCTTCGAGTATTTTTCTTTAACGTTTATTGGTTTTGTTTGGTTTTCAGTATTTTTGTATTTTGTATTTTTGCCTCTGTTTCCCTTGGACTTACATTAAACCATCCAAACTCATCCATGCCTACTCCTCTCTGCATTTGGGTCTTCAAAACCTCCACCCAACCTGACAGTAGCCTCTTTTTGGCTATTATTGCACATGGGAATAATATGAATAGACCTAATCCTCCTGAGATATAACACCCCTGTTCACTGTTATCTCTATTTATGAATAATAAATAATATTCCCTTTGTTTTCATTTTGCAGAAATCTTTAGAAAAGGCTTTGTAACAATCTGTAAATATATAGGTTGTAATCATATATATATATATATATATATATATATATATATATATATATATATATATATATACACTCACCAGCCACTTTATTAGGTACACCTGTCCAACTGCTCGTTAACACTTAAATTCTAAGCAGCCAATCACATGGCGGCAACTCAGTGCATTTAGGCATGTAGACATGGTCAAGACAATCTCCTGCAGTTCAAACCGAGCATCAGTATGGGGAAGAAAGGTGATTTGAGTGACTTTGAACGTGGCATGATTGTTGGTGCCAGAAGGGCTGGTCTGAGTATTTCAGAAACTGCTGATCTACTGGGATTTTCACGCACAACCATCTTTAGGGTTTACAGAGAATGGTCCGAAAAAGAAAAAACATCCAGTGAGCGGCAGTTCTGTGGGCGGAAATGCCTTGTTGATGCCAGAGGACAGAGGAGAATGGCCAGACTGGTTCGAGCTGATAGAAGGGCAACAGTGACTCAAATAACCAACCGTTACAACCAAGGTGGGCAGAAGAGCATCTCTGAACGCACAGTACGTCGAACTTTGAGGCAGATGGGCTACAGCAGCAGAAGACCACACCGGGTGCCACTCCTTTCAGCTAAGAACAGGAAACTGAGGCTACAATTTGCACTAGCTCATCGAAATTGGACAATAGAAGATTGGAAAAACGTTGCCTGGTCTGATGAGTCTCGGTTTCTGCTGCGACATTCGGATGGTAGGGTCAGAATTTGGCGTCTACAACATGAAAGCATGGATCCATCCTGCCTTGTATCAAGGGGGATATTTTCTTGGCACTCTTTGGGCCCCTTGGTACCAACTGAGCATCGTTGCAACGCCACAGCCTACCTGAGTATTGTTGCTGACCATGTCCATCCCTTTATGACCACAATGTACCCAACTTCTGATGGCTACTTTCAGCAGGATAATGCGCCATGTCATAAAGCTGGAATCATCTCAGACTGGTTTCTTGAACATGACAATGAGTTCACTGTACTCAAATGGCCTCCACAGTCACCAGATCTCAATCCAATAGAGCATCTTTGGGATGTGGTGGAATGGGAGATTCGCATCATGGATGTGCAGCCGACAAATCTGCGGCAACTGTGTGATGCCATCATGTCAATATGGACCAAACTCCCTGAGGAATGCTTCCAGCACCTTGTTGAATCTATGCCACAAAGAATTGAGGCAGTTCTGAAGGCAAAAGGGGGTCCAACCCGTTACTAGCATGGGGTACCTAATAAAGTGGCCGGTGAGTGTATATATATATATATATATATATATATATATATATATATATATATATATATATATATATATATATATATATATATATATATATATATATATATATATATATATATATATTATTATTATTATTTTTTTGCTCTCTTAGATCTTATAGCTTATTGCATGTTTTCATACAGGCTCAGGGTTATTCCTTGGTTACAAAAGTGGGTGCTGGGGAAGGAGTTTTGGATTGTTTTTCTTTAACCGTATAAATAAGATCCATATTTTACAAATGCATTTTGTTTTACTTTTTGTCTGACCAAAATTTGTTTGATGAGTGAAAGCAAAAGATATCTTTTGCAAATCTGTTTTTACAGCACAATGTATCTTCTGCAGTATGTCCATAATGCTCTGCACTGCAGTATATTTTAAAGGTTCTTACTGTTTTCCTCTAAAGGAGTCCCAAGACACTGACATGAAGAGATGATAATGCCTTCCCTCCGAGCCTTTTCAATTTAACATGCACCAAGCGTTTTCCTTCAATGCCTGGAAGGGTGATTGATAGACAATTACTACTTAGTCACAAGATGTTTTGTTTAGGCCACAGCAAGGCAGGAAGATGTGTGATTGGACAGAGGAACATTATATGGTTAACTGTAATAGACTACTACCTGCTCTTTGTTTCTTTGCCCATTACAGTCATCACAATGTACGCTGTCTGAAGTAGCTGCTGCTACAACAGCAAATCTTGAATGCCTGTCTTTGCACCAACTTTGTGGCTCATGGGCCATTACATTTATAGTACATTGGTGTAAACGCAGCCCTTCATCATGTGGCATCAGCACACTCAGATGTAGGTGCATTACAGAACATTAATAGCCCTTTCAAAAAGACAGCTATAAGTCTCACTTACTCTGCCTACAGTTCCTCCTCACCAGTCTGTCATGATTGTCACTGTGGGTTCTGACATCTTTCTTTTATTTATCTTCCTACAGTTGTTTTCTTTGTATTTGGTGCATTTTCAATTTCAGGCATATAAAATTCTGAGCAGAGATTTATCAGTTGGTAGTGGGTATAGACTGCACTTTAACTGAAAGAAATAAACAACCACTGATGATTATTTAGTGTCCAATCTAGGAAGCCTACAAAATATTTGTAGCCCTTACTGAAAATCTTTACTAAGCCCCATGAGGGACATCAGGAAAAATAATAAAATGACTTTAGGTGGCTTTCATGTACATTTGTGACAGTCACAGTACCTGTTGTCTTGCAAAACATGTACAACAGAAAGGGTTACTTTCATAGGATTCACAGAAATTCAGGGAGGGGCCCTGATGTACCTTTGTGAGATTTAGAAAGATAAAAGATTTATCTTTTATCTGAATTATCATATTTAAATAGCTTTTTTAAATCCCAAGTCACCTTTTGCATGATATCATAAAAGGCATTCTAAGATGATTTTGGGGGATCTTTCAAACAGTTAAGCAGGATGTTGACTTTTTTTTATACTAAGTTACCTTTGTAAGATCATACAATATGTTTTTCAGATCTCAAGTTAATTTACAGACTCCTACAGACAATTTAAGGCAATTCATTCTGAGTTACATTTACAGAAACCTGCTAAAAGTTTTCCTTTGTTCACACTAAATAATCTTTGCAGGGGCTTATGAAAGATTTGTAGGATTCCTAAAATAGTTATGCAGGATCCATTGTTTCCTTTGTTGTAAGTAGCAAAATTTAGTTCGATCCTTAATTACTTTTTTCGGAACATCCCAACATAAACAATGAGTAATGGTTGTAGCATCTCACGAAAATGCTGTTTGATTCCCAAATACAAGAAGTCATGAAAAATTCCCATTGTCAGTCCATCCTTCATTTGACTTTTGTTTGATTTTGCGAGGAAGTACTCCAATCTTACAAGTTATGTTGGCAAAATCCCACCATTTATGTTATGCTTAGTTTAAGGTTTAAATAGTTTGTTTTTTTTAGAACCCCGAGCATTTAACATAGAACATTGAATAATTTCTCATTGGAGCAATTTAAAGCTTGGAAAGCTGTTTTTTAGCTTCCATTTATGTGGTTTTAAGTGTCTTTCAAGAGTTCATTGTTGGATTTTTTTAAGGTAAATTGTTCATACTCCAAACAATTTCATTCAGGACGATTCTAAAGGCCCTTGACTGAGGGGGGACCCAAAAGAAGAAGAAAAGATTTGTCCCACTATATTTTTCAAATATAAATTTGGGGGGAGTTGAGGACCCAATATCAATGTCTTTTCTTGGGGCCCCAAATTCCTGGTGGCCCCCCTGTTCCACACTAATGTCAGCTGTAGGCAAGCAAATAGATAAGTAAAACATGTGATTAGACTGAAATGTTTCAATGATCACTAACCGAAAAACCAAAAAGTTCAGATTTATGTTGGAATTTCTAATTCTGTGTGGCTCTTTTACAGCAGTATTTTGTTTCTTAGTTGGGACTGAATTGATATACCAGAAGAAAGAGCTTAATGTACTTGATGTGGAATGAACACAGTGCTCAAAAATGAGCAATTTTATGTATAATTTCCTCTTTTGCCTCAAGCTATTCTCCCTGTACTTTTTTTTTTTTTTATACTTCAGTCTCCTTTTTAAATTCCCTGCTAATTTATTGTAGCATTGAGACTAGGTGTTTTTTTTTTTACCTGCATCAAGTGGGTGTAAGTAAGTCTGCTTTTTCTTTGAAGCAGTTTTTTTCACTCATGATCTAGATTTTTCATCTACTTACCGCAGTTACTGAAGGGTTTATAGGCACAGCTGTTGTGTGGCAGATTTATTTCTAGTGCACTCAGGCTCACTATACTACTCTTATAACACAAGCCCTCTTGCAAAAGACATTTAAAAAATATAACCTAATAGTAGTCACAAAGTCACACTCATTCGGTTAATAGTTATTTGTCTTAATGTCTGAATGTCTTATTTGTCGGAATATTGAATCAGAGCAAATTGTGGTTAAAAAGTCAGTTAAATTATATCTAATTAATTTTTTCTTCATGAATTTTTAAGTTATTGGAGTCTTGGCAGTATATCGTAATAAACTTCATATCAGCGGCAAAGCAGAGCTACCCAATGCTCTTCATCTGCAGTCCTTGAGACTCACAGACCGGCAACTTTTAGATCAATCTCTTCTTCAGCACATGAATTAAAGGACCCGCCACAAATTTTTGCAGAGGCTTGCCAATGAGTAAATCATTAGATTTAGGTGCAGCAATGCATCAAAAAGTTAGAGCACAGTAGACCCTGAGTATTGAGTTGGACACCTCTGAATTACGTTGACTTAATCATTCCTGTTTCCTGTCTTTGCACAGTTTTTATCTTTTAATATTTGTTTGCATTTGTTTTTCAGCTGGGATGTCTGTTAAAAGTACAAAAGGAGGTCCAGACAGCCGACCCTCCTCTGCTGCAAGGTTAGTAAAGGAAATGAATGGCATTCATTAAAATAAAAAGTTGCAATTTAACTAAGATGAAGGTAGTCGTTTTCTGTGAATATTAACTGCTCTGTCTGAGCAAAAAAATAAAAAGAATTCTATTATCTTATATAATCTGGTGGAATAAAAGCAAAAACAGACAAAAATGTCAGCAAGATTGTTACAGATCTGCAAGTCTGGGTTTGTTAAACCCTAGAAAACTTCAGTATTCCTTTCAAATTGAAGCTGCCAGTCTAAGCTGTTTATTTTTTTTTACTGTTCTTCAAGCACTGTATTGTTTATAAATATTTATTTAAATTTGAATAAGAAGAAATGAAAACATATTAATCCAAATAATACAAGTCATCTAGCGCACTTTAAATTGATCAAGGCTTCTCTTTCTCCCAGCATTTCTCCACGAGGAGGGAGGGCTGCAGCAGCTGGAAAATCGCCCGCTATGGGGAAATTCAAAAACAAGGCCCTTCAGCTTAGCCTCTCCAAGAAATTCTGGTTATTATCATCCTCTGTTTCTAATCAACATTGATTAAGACAAAGGGAGTGTGTTATGTTAGGCTGTGCACTCAATTAGCACCATCAAATGATAAACAAGCTGACAAACAAGCCTCCAGAGTTGCCCCTCTCAGAAAAGCTTTCCTGCTATGTAAATATGTAGACCACTGGTTTCAAAAGATGGTTCAAAAGTTAAGGATAAGTTTACTGGCTTGCTGGGAGGAAAAATTACAGGCTTGGTTTTGGTGATAACTGTTACAGCTATAAACAAATAGCATGTAAATACGCACTTCACAGCTCCAAGTCCTCCACATCCAAGGAGAAGGTGCCTGAGGAAGAGGAGGGCAAGAGGAAGAGTAAAAGGAGCCTCAGCAACAGCTCTATGGTGGCAGCTGCCTATATCTCCTACCTTAATAAACTTTTTGGACAGGTCAGTTCTGCGGCACAATGCCGATCTGTTTTACTCTTAGATAAAGAATTTGTTGAAAAAAAGTAAAGCACTTTGTCATCTTTGACTTTTCTCCATTTCACCACATTCCAACCAGAAAAATTAAATTAATTTTTATGTGATGAACGACGGAGGTAAGTAACAGTTACTTGAGTACCGTTTTGAATAAATGTTCCTCCAGGAGTAGTTTTACTGCACCATACTTTTGACTTTTACATGAGTAAACCATTTTGGTGCTGTAAGTGCATGTCAGTTTGATAAATAGTTGAACCAGGAGGGTTGAATACAAATGTACAGGGTACTTTCCAGATTTTAGTTGTAAGGTAATATGATACTAAAAACTGTGTATAATTTGTCCTGAGAGCTGGCAAATATGCACCACTTTCGTCTGCTCTGTCACATAAAATCTCATTACATACATTCAAATTTGCAGTTTTAACTTGACAAAATATTGAAAGGTTCACAAGATATAAAAGCCTATGCAAGGTATTCAATTCAATCTGAATGCAGTTTATTTAGATAGAATCTGTATTCTTAAGTCTTTTATGTTGGTTTATGTCAACAATGTTCTTGCTCTGCAAATGATAAAAAAGTCCAACATCTATTTTTTATCTTTTACCCCAAAAGCATCCAGAGATTCATATTTAAACCAAAACTAAACTGCTTCTGCTTCCAGTTATAAACCATGTTCTAATAAAAATACTGCATTTCAGATTAGATTCAGTCTTTTTCTGATTTGTAAATGTAATTCGCCTTTTTAACCATCTCATTCAGTTAAGTTCAGTTGATCTGTAATAAAAAAAAAAATCTGTCTTTAATTAAAAAAGACTATTTCTTAATTATATGTATATTTCCTCTGTGAAGAAGGAGTCAAGCTGTTTTTGAACAGTGCTACCAAGCTTGCTGCATCTCTCCCATGTGGTTATGGTCTGTCATCCCCAGCAACAGTCTCCAAGTGTTTTTAGCTGAAATGTTTACTTGCTAGATAAGAACAGAACCATACAACTGCAGCGCTAAAGAAAGCTTCCAAGGGAATAGTTTCAACTTTATGCAGGAGATCTGCCTTAGACCAGACCTACGGCTAATCCAGAATCAAACAGCAGAGAGAGGCGGAAAAAAAGAGAGGGGGGTGGAATACCTTATCTATGCCTCCATTTTCTCTACCTGCTTAAACCTGATCGAGGACTTAGATGGGGGGGGGAGGAAGTAGATTGCCATTTCCATCAGAGGACTAACAAAGAGAAACTGATGAAAAGCTACATTTCTTGGTGCCAAAATAAGACCTTATTAATTATTGTGACAGTAAAAAAGTTGGTGATAGTGTTAAATAACTAAACTAATAAATGGAATAATAATAAATGTAAAAATAGATCACAAAAATTCCTCACAAGCCACATTCCTAATGCATTTTTTAATCACTTTTGGGGGGGTTATTTATGCCATTTCCAGCCAGAAGAATAAAAGTTCCCTGAAAGGCAAATTGACATGGGCATGAATAATGTATGGTTGCTTCTATAAAAGAAAGAAACTTAGCCTTCAAATAAGCATAAATAATTGAATAAAAAATTAGCAGCTTTTTTTTATTATCCAGCACCAACCTGACATATTAGCAATAATGTTGATTTAAACATATTTACCCTATTTTTTGTTAATGGTTTGGCCCTAAGCATCAGACCTCTCTGCTGCTGTTAATATTTGTTTACTGGTCACGTCAGGAGCTGAGTTTTTAGCTGCTGAGCAAACATTTCAGCTCCTGTTGTCTAGGCCTCCTGCACCAATCCAGCATTAATAATACGATGAACAGATTCTTAATTATCATATTTTTCCAAGTTTTAATGGTTTTTGATGGTGCAATTAAGTAAGATGTCTTCCTAATGATGGCTAAATGGTTCTCGTCATACACTCACCATGTGCTGTCCATAATGCAGTTTTGGAACTCAATTATCCCTAATGAATCTCAGAGTAAAATAAGCACCCTTGAGATAGGATCTTGAAGAGTTTAGTTGACTTGCAACAACTCATATTTTCACAAAATCTTTCCTCGTTGAGAACAATTCACTTCACTGATAAACAATGTCATGTCTCAGTATTATCAGGCCAAATCTTTTGAAAGCATAAGGCTCATAACCAACCTCGACTTTACTTTAAATATTATATTTAGAAGCCATTTAGCATTAAGCACATAAAGGGTGCAGGCCACACAAACAGAAATATAATGACCAAGATTTTGTTCACAAGTGAGGAATTTGAGTTTGGCTTCATGAGATCACATATGAATATATAATTTCAAACAAAATCTAATAAAAGCTGAACAAACAATATGTTCAGATATCTTTATTTGAACCCAAAACCTTTTCTTTTAATACTGGTAGGGATAATAAATAAAGCTTATTTTGTATCACAGTAGAATAGATGGGTACTCTATTAATCCTTGAGATCAGGAGGATGGATATATATGTCAGCTATGTCAGCCTGTATGTATAATTCTGACTTTGTGCTGTTTGGGGGAAAATGCAAATTTGTGCTCAATATTGTCGTTTAAATAAACTTGTTTGTTGAAGGCAAAATAATTGTATTACCCAATAGTCTTAGATTGCAAACTATTTATGGTATATTATACAAAACTAAAATGAGTTTAGTTTAGAAAAGTCCCATCCACATGCGGATTTGTAATATATTAATGTAATATATTCTGTTTATCATGATTATCTAAAGTAGTGAAACTGCTGATTGTCATTTCCCAAGATTATCAATAAAAATGCCTTTATTATACCAGTATGGTGGTGAAGCAAATACATTTAGTCACAATAATAGAGATGAAATGTTTGCCCTCTGGAATTTTCTGTTAAATTTTGCAGACCTTGTGGAATAGTTACTCCAATAATCTCCCAAATGATTCACTGCCACGCTGCTGGGCTGCTGTCCAAAAATGACCTGTTTGGCTCAAGTTAAACATTGGCTGAGTTCATGACTGGCATCACTTTCCCAGTTTCCTGCAGGAGACCACATTGAAAAAAAAATGCAACTGGAAGAGACCCAAGAAACATAAATAAAGGCCACCCTCCACTTCCAGGTGAAAAATCATGAGCTCTGCTTATAGTAGAGATATTTTGACCTTAAACCCCTTATAATGAATTCAATTGAAACGCTGATTCTTCCTCTTGACAGTGGAAGAGAATAATAATTTTGCAGTGTCTGTTCTTAGATAAGTCTATTAGTCAAAATATTATTGTAGTTTGAAGCTTTAGTAACATACATTTTTTCCCCCTTAATATCAAAAGAAAGGAAGCAGAGCTTTTAGGATAAAACTCAGGCAAAGCAGGGAATTCTTGTATCTTGCAAGAATACACATATTTCCAGCTTTAAAATAAACCTGAACCACAACAATAAATGAGTATGAATAAAAAAGGACTTTCTTCACCCTCTCTTCATGTCATCAGATAGTAGTTCTCCTCATTTGTATAAACGCAAATGATAAGAAGGATTTAATTTAGCGTCTTTGTTCGTTCAGTAAAGATTTCTGCAAACAAGGCTGAAATAATTGCACAATTTGTTCTTGTGAGTTGCTTTCAGATACAAGAAAGATGACATTACTTGCTTCATCCATCTGCAAAAGCATTAACATTCAGTCATTCAGAGATTAGCCACCCCTGAATTAATGTTCCTCACGACTTCATTTAGACATGCTCCTGAAACTGATGGTGAGAGCGGCGGTGTGTGTACGATATTTGTCATCTCTTCATAATTGGAGTGTAAATCAACATGACACCTATGTGTTTAGCTGATGTCAAAATAACGGAAAGGTTTGCATTTTTTTTTCTAAAAAAGCTTCACTGTTGGCAACTTTAAAATGCAAATGGTCTCTAAAACATTAGACTCAGTTATAGACCATTTCTTTTCGTTAACTAAGCAATAACTGAGAACAATTTAAATCATGCATTAAATCATCAGCCTCTTTTATAAAAGAGGAACAATTTTAGAAAAGGGAGATTTTAATTAAAATAGGTTTCTACATTGTCTCCAAATCTAGGGAAAGGTACAAAATCTAATTTTAGTTTCATATTTAACTCTATTTCCGGATAAATTAGGTGCTTTTTAGGTTAAATTATCTTTTAAAAGTATCCTTTAGTATAAATTTGCCAAAATCACTAATGTTTTATCTGATCTTTTTGATGAGGCACTGATGGAACCAGAATGTAAATATGATCGGAAAAAAACAAAGCAAGGCTTTTTCACAGCTCTTCTTCTTTTTTTTCTTTTTTTTTGCCTCTAGTTTTCTTAATCATTAGTTTTAAACTTGACCTCCGAATGACTGTAGTCTAAACCAACAGTCTTTAAATATGGAAATACCCCCACCACTCATAGTTCTGACTTATTTCTCTGAATTCTGGGAAAAAAACATTGCAATCTTTTGTAGGCGTACTCATCATCATCCTCTGCTTATCTGGAATCTGAGCATGGGCAGCCGTCTCAGCAGAGACTTGCAGACTTCCCTCTCCCCAAACACCACCTCCAGCTCCTCTTGGGGAAGCCTGAGGCGCTCTGGTCCAGCTGAGAGACACAGTCTCTCCAGCATGTCCTGGGTCATCCCCTGGGCCTCCTACCGGCGGGACTGTCCATGGGGCATCCTGAACAGATGTCCGAGCCACCTCAGCTGACTCTTCTTAATATGGAGGAGTAGAAGCTATACTCCAAGCCTCTACAAGATGACATAGGTCCTCACCCAATCTCTAAGTGATTCTCAAATAAAAAATTCTCAATAAAAACTTTTTTTTTAATTTTACCAAAGAAAAAAAAGCCAGAATTTTGAGATTAAAATCAGAATTCTTAAATTAAATTCATTGTTCTGAATTCAGTCAGATTTAGACTTTAGACAATTTTATTTGTCTTTTTTTTTTTTACACAAGTGTAAAATAAAAAGAAATTTCGTTTGGAAACAGCTCACTGGACAATTTCATCTTTTAAAAGTGCAGCCTTGAAAA